TTTCTAAATAGACACCTCTCCAAATAGGACATACAAATGGCTAAGAGACATATGAAGAAATGCTCATCATCACTAATCATCAGAGAGATGCTAATTAAAACAACAATGAGGTATCACCTCACACCTGTCAGAATGGCCGCCATCAACAAATCATCAAACAACAAGTGTTGGCGAGGGTGTGAAGAAAAGGGGACTCTAGTACACTGCTGGTGGGAATGCAGACTGGTGCAGCCACTATGGAAAACAATATGGTGTTAGCTCAAAAAATTAAAAATTGAAATTCCATTTGACCCAGTGATCCCACTTCTAGGAATATACCCTAAGAAGCCTGAAACTCCATCAATTTATTTAATATTCAAAATATATTTTCTTGTATGGGCAGAACAATGTTCAGGAAATTAAATTATCTCTACATTTTGTTTTTGTTGATTGATATGTAGAAATACAGAAATACACATACTGCTTAACAAGACAAATAATTTGCACCTGAAATTAATTTGTTTAGTCCCTTGGAGCCCTACAGTACAAAATGTTTATAATAAATACAGCTGTGCTGGCGATACTCCTGCATTAGAAGAAACACAATTTTGTTATCTGGTCCAAGAAGCTTACAGTCCAAGGGAACTCAGAAAGGAGTTCTGAGAATACTGGCTTCTAGTTTGGGTGTGCTCTTCCCCAAATGTGTCCTGCATTTTTCTGATGGCGTGGCTTTGTTTGGCTGATTTTTAAAATTTTATCTTATTTTTTCCATCACCATTTATCCCTTCTATGCCCTCTTCCACCTCTACCCTCCTCCCTCCTCCCACAATCACCACTGTTGTCCATGTCCATGAGTTCTCTCTTTGTTTCTTTTTTACTGAATCCTTCCTTCCCCCACCAGAGCTGTCTGCCTGCTCTCCATCTATTCGTCTGTCTCTATTTTGCTTGGTAGTTCAGTTCGTTCATTAAATTCTACATATGAGTGAAACTTTTTTTTAAAGCTGGAACTCCATGTTCTCTTCACCAGCCATCAAAAGTCTACCTATTTTTCTAGGGCCACCTTAAATGTCACCTAGTCTGTAAAGTTGTCCTTGTCTCCCACCCTCTTGTGTGCTTTTGTAGCCCTTTTGTTCACACTTTTTTTTAATTAATTAATTTATTTTTGTTACAGATGTTTCTCCTTTACCCCCAATTGATTCTCCCCTTCCCCTCCTTCCCCACCCTGTCCCACTTTTGTTGTCCATGAACATTGTTCATGCATACATGCATATAAGTTCTGTGGTTTATCTCTCCCCCAACACCCCCTCTTCTGGGGATTGTCAGTCTGTACCCCACTTCCACCTGTGAGAATGGCCGCCATCAACAAATCATCATACAACAAGTGTTGGCGAGGGTGTGGAGAAAAGGGGACTCTAGTACACTGCTGGTGGGAATGCAGACTGGTGCAGCCACTATGGAAAACAATGTGGTGTTACCTCAAAAAATTAAAAATTGAACTTCCCCTTGACCCAGTAATCCCACTTCTAGGGATATACCCTAAGAAGCCTGAAACACCAATCTGAAAGAATATATGTACCCCATTCGTTCATTTTTGATTATACTACCAAAATCCACTTAGAGTGATGTCTGTGATTTAAGGGTCAGGACCCTGCTTTATTCATCCAACTATGTCTCCAAACACAGGATGACAAAATAAATAAATAAATAAATAAATAAATAAATAAATAAATAAATAAGTTTGGAAACACAGAGAAAATGTATATTTAAGTAATATTAGTTATATTTTCAAACACTATGTCTAATATACTTTCCTTCAATCTCTAGACAACTTTTCAAGCAAAATTCCTCCAAAAGTAAAGCCATGAGTACAATCACTAATCTGAAAAAAATATAAAAATAAATGAAAAATGTCCCCTATGTTTCTAAGCTTTTAGGACATCTTTATTATGTTACTTTCTCCAAATTGTTTAATCATACTTGGGCTGTCTTTAACCTCAGCACTTCCTTTTCCTCATCTATATAATGAAAATGCTACCTGCCCTATCTTATTCACGGGGTTATCACAAGGGTTGATGAGAAAATGGCTATGCAAAAGGATCAAGCAGTCTGGAAATGCAAAATGTTGTTCTCATTAACTATACAAGGATTTACTTTGTGTCCATATTGTAGCACTTGAGTATGCGGACTTTGGCTAACCTCATCACAGCTGCATTAAAGAGGATTCTCCATGAGCTGCTTAAGAGAGGAAGCCAAGAGGCTGATTACAGCTTTGGGCCCCGCCACAGCCATCAAAAGTTACCAAAGGGATGCTGGGACTTCAAGTTTCTTTCCAATTGTGCAAGAGGAAAGTCATGGTCTTAGCCACCTGCTTCCTGTCTCCACCATGACTCACACCTTTCAGGTCCACTTGGATGGATGTTCAGATGAAATCTGCTTAGGCCCACTGCTCAAGGACCTTAATGGTGCTATGGTGCACGTAGCTGTGTGATAGGAGGAGCAATAAGTTGAGACCTGAGCCCCAGGGAAACTGAGCCAAGGTCACAGGGTACTTTTTAGCTTATCAATGAAAAACAGTTTACTTTCTGTCACTGGTGGCATAAGCATGAGGTTATTGCTTCCTGGCGCGTTGCACCAAGAGAGGCACATAATCAGTTTTATGAAATGTGTGCCCAAAATGCATAATCTGAATTCAATTACAAGGAAACAATAGACAAACCTAAATTTTTTTAAAAAAAGCATTCCATCACATAACTGACCTGTACTCTTCTGTACAATATACTGTCCTAAAAGATAAAAAGAAAAAAGACTGAAGAACTTTACTAGGTTAAAGAATACTAAAGAGACATGATGACTGATGACTGAAGGCAATGTGTCATCCTGATTGGATCCTGGACCAGAAAAAGAATATTACTAGGGCAATTGCTAAAATTTTAATATAGACTGTTATATGAAAAACCTATAGCCAATATCATACTCAATGGGCAAAAACTAAAAGCATTTCCCTTAAGAACAGGAACATGACAGGGATGCCCACTTTCATCACTCTCATTTTACATAGTACTGGAAGTCTTAGCCACAGCTATCAAGCAAGAAGGGAAAATAAAAGGGATACAAATTGAAAAGTAGGAAGTGAAACTGTCATTATTTGCAGATGACATAATATTGTACATAAAAATCCCTAAAGACTCCATCAAAAATCTATTAGAGCTAATAAATGAATTTGGCAAAGTAGCAGGATACAAAGTTAACATCAAGAAATCGATGGCATTCTTATACAACAATATTGAACTCACAGAAAGAGAAACTAAAAAAAAAATCCCATTTACCAATGCAGTAAAAAACTAAGATACCTATGAATAAACTTAACCAAGTAAGTCAGGTAAATAGTAAAAACAGAAATGCTTTGGGCAAATATACAGTACTAAGTAATGTAGCATAGGTGGTTCTGTGTGGAGAGTGGAACAGTGGAAGTAGGCTACTCCCCATCTTGGAACGTCCACATTAACAAGCTTTGCTGCTCAAAAGGATAACTGAAAGATCACTGCAAAAGCAATTTTAATCCATCTCACAATCTTTAACTACTGACTTTATGTGGGAACAAAACAACCTTGACTTGTAGTCTTTGCTGATTGCCATGGTGTAAATCTTTCCACCATAGCTGCATTCTAGTTACCAATACAATGTCTCTGAACACAGAGTTGGAAAGCAATGCATAATCAATTCTCACGACCTTGTGCAAACTAGCTCCAGCATACTGCTGGCAATAACCTGGGTACCAGTCCTCTGTCTGCTACTACCTAACTATGTTTCCCTACTAAGTAACTTAACCTTTATAGGTTGCAATTTCCTCATCTTAAAATATTAACCTCACAAGATCATTTAAAGAATCAAATCAAACTAGTTTACTTCCAAGATCTCTGGCTTTGACCATCTATGATTCTGTGATGGAGTTGGCCACATTGGTGGCTTTGCCTTTTTCCATGTCACACCAAGTCTTGTGGAAAGGCAAAAAACAAAAGAATCCTAGAGGAAGTTTCTCTAGAGCAGCGGCTCTCAACCTGTGGGCCGTGACCCCTTTGGGGATTGAATGACCCTTTTACAGGGGTCGCCTAAGACCATCAGAAAACACATATTTCCAATGGTGATTTATAACAGTATCAAAATTACAGTTATCAAGAAGCAACAAAAATAATGTTATTGTTGGGGGTCACCACAACATGAGGAATTGTATTAAAGGGTCGCAGCATTAGGAATGTTGAGAACCACTGCTCTAGAGTGTGGTAATAAGAGCAGAAACCACATTTACATTGCCTCAGAGATGAGGTCCAAGGCATTGACCACTCCAGATTTTCTATACAGAAGAAATTTCTTGGTGGGAATCTGTTTGAGAAGTAGAACTAGAGAATCTATAAAGTTCTATTATTTTAATGATATATTTATTTGAGATAAGTTAGAAGTGCACATGGTGCCTAGGATCAATGCAACATATATATGCCTTCTCTTCCTATGCTGTATCAGAATCTGCCTGGTAAAGACTACATAGTGAAACTAGAGTCTGTTAATATTTTGATATCTAGAATATCTAAAGGAAGTAACTCAGTGCTAACTTTCCTTGATTGTTATATTTATGTCACTTCTATTGCCTGGCACCTGGGGGAAATAAGTTGCTTTTAAGGCCCTCTTTGCTATGACTCTAAATTGGACAGAAAAGTGCTCAACCCACCCCCTGAGCCATCATTTAGTGACATCATTAGCTCAGCATGTGTATTTGAGACCCATGTACCTCTTCTTTTTGGTTAAATGTAATTGAGAGTAAATAAATCAGGGGTCAGAGGAATAAATAAAAGTGACTGGAAGCTTGGCCCCTGCTGGGATTCCCAGGGCTTCACACTAACAGACCAGATGAAAGGAAATTCTGGCTTTAATGTGCTGTTGAAGTTGATGAACGAGAAAACCCTCACCCAGCCAATCAAAAAATTCCAAGTGTAAAGGGGTTTAGTAAGGTATAAGAGACATAATACCTTGTGCTTCCGGAGGCTGCCAGGACTGGTGGGTGTAGAGATGGGAGACTGCTTAGACTTGGGGGTAGAGAGCTGGCTGCTGGAGGTTCCATTTGCTAGCCCAATGCAAGAGAAAAGGAATGGATAAAAATCAACAGCAAAGAAAGGAACAAGTTATTCTTCCCCTCCGAAGACACTAAGGACATTCAAACAAGTCATACATACAAGCAAGTGATTTGATGAGTAGGACAAAGGTGAAAAGAAACAGATTCCTCAGAAAGACAAGAAGTGCAATCCTCATGTTAATCAGATCCCTGAGCAGTGCAAGGCAGCAATCTTCCCACCCTTTCCCCTGAGTGCTTCCAATTACAGGGTCTGGTTCTTTTCAAACCTTTTTCATATTCATTACCAAGTTTGACTCTAACAACATTACTGTGAGGTAGTCTGGGAAAACATTGTTTTGTTTCAATTTTGTAAGTGAGAAAAAAGTGAGGCACAAAGAAATTGTGTGCCTTACCTTAAGGGAGAGGAAATATGGGTGGTTTTGACTAGGGCACATTTTTTGGTAGCAGATGATGTGGCAGGTTCAGGACAGCCCATTGTCAATCTTTCTCTGCTCTCTCTTCCTGTTAACCTTACCCCTCCCCTCTACACACACTCTCTCTTCCCCATCTCATCTTGGGCAAAAAGGACAGAAGGAAAGAAAGAGAAAAGGGGCTAGTCATGAAGAATGAAAAAGTGGAGGAGAAACACAGAATGAAACAAAGAAAGGCTCATACAGCAAAATGGGTGGAGGAGAGAATTTTAAAAAGTGAGAGAAAGAGATAAGGAGTGGAAGAAAGGGGACAAAGGGAGACAGGGTAGAGATTAAAAGAAGAGAAGAATGAAGAAGTTTGAAATAGGGACAGAAACAGACAATTGTGGTCAAAGTCAGAGTGCAACACAATTTGTCTCTACTCAATAAAATGCTGAACATGAGATGATTTAATATTTAAAATCTTTATATTCCATTGTGTTCACACTTGTTTTATATTCCCTTGCTAATGAGCTTTTCAAATATCTAATCAAGTAAAAATAAATGTAGTGCCTTAAATGGAACAATTAAACATCCTTGAAAATGGATTCATGTTCAGATATCTCATGCTAATTTTTTTTTTCTTAATCTAAGCACCTATGTTATTCATCAGAGATATTCTGAAATGTGCTTTACAAATATAAAGCCAAATATTTCAATGGTATGAGGGTTGTGGATGAGAGATGGAGGAGGAAAGAAAGAAGAAAGAAGGGAAGGCAGGAGAGGGGGGAAATGAGAAAGAGAGATGACATAAAGAAAATTAAAAATTGAACACATTAAGCAGGAACATGGCCTGAGAGTACTGCTATTAGTCCCACAGGTAAAGCATAAACTGTTGTATCATAAACATTTCCTGAGGATACACTTCCTCTGCTCCACTTATGGGAATGTTTCCCTAGGTTCTGCAACCTACATACCAACTATACAGATGGAATAGACATCAGTATGGTGGTTGCTGCATTTGTCCAAATGCAGGTGAGCTGAAAGATGGGTACTTAGGCACTCAGTATCTGGTTTTACCTATGTGTTCACTCATCTCTCACCTACTCACTGAGAGACCTTTCACCCTGTCAGAACTTCCTGGAAATCATTCATTCATTTATCCAGCAGTTACAAGGTACTTTCTCTAAGCCAGGCCAAGTATTATACAATGAGGTTTCAGAGATGAGTAAGTCCCTTCTTGTGGGGAAACAGGCAAGAATACACTAGGCTAAGTGCTATGACAAAGCCATGTAAGGGGTATTTTTGGAGTCTGGTGGAGAGACTTTGAAATCAGGGAACTGGGAAGCAAACAAGAGGAGGTAACACCTGAAAAGTCTTGAAAATGACTCTGGAATAGACAAATTTATAGAGACAGAAAGTAGATCCATGATTGCCAGGGGCTGGCTAGGAGGGGTGGAGGAAGTAGGAGCTGGGGGAAAATAGAGAGTGTCTGCTAAAGGTAGAGAGTTTGTATAGGGGGATAAAGATGTTCTGGCATTAAATGGTGGTTATTGTTGTACAACTCCATGGCTAATTGGAAAAAAAACAAAAAACAAAAAACATTGAATTGTACATTTTAAATGAGTGAATTGTTTGCTATGTGAATTGTACCTCAACAAAGTCATAAAAAAGATGGATTGGAGCTAGTTAGACAGAGAGGGTAAAACAGGTATTCTAAGACTAGAATTGCACCAATAGTGCCAAAGACATGCAGGTGTGAGAGAATACAGTATGTTTACAGAAGAGCAAATAGCTCAAAATGGCTGAACCACAGGGTGCCAGCAGTGAGTTCTAAGAGATAAGACTGGGAGGGGGATAAAGGCCAAAGCCTGGGGGCTTTTTGTGAAGGCTTTTTTGACTTTTCATTTGATTTGTGTAAAAAATCTGGGAGTGATACTATCAAATTTGCATTTTAAAACTATTACTCCAGTTGTTGTGGTAAGAATTGGATGGAGTGGGGTAGGATAAGGAAAGGGTAGAAAGAGAGGTGGGTTAAAAGACAATGAAGTAGTCCAGGTGAAAGGTGATGATGGCTTAAATTAAAACAGTGAGAAGGGAGAAAGAGGACATGGTGGAAGATAGAGACCTGGACGCCAGACAACCTTAGAGTGTTATGTGCACATACCATTTAAGCCACCCAAAGAAGAACATGACTCGTGTCAAACAGCACAAGGACTGGGGGAGCTAAGCTTAGTCAGGGCATTAGACTTTCTGGTGAATAAAGGAAGCACTTCAGCCATCATCCTCTAAGAGACACACCTACCATAGACACCAGAATAGCAAGTAGAAAGACACATTGAAGATATTGGATTCCCAAAACAATGTAATTGCCAAGAAAGCAAAAGGTTTTCCTATTTTGTTAAATTTTGCATCCCAGTTGCGGGAATAATGCCTGGAACAGAGTAGATGCTCAATAAATATCTAATGAATTTTTTTTCATGTTTTAAATTAAATTTATTGGGGTGATATTGTTTAATAGGATCATATAGATTTCAAGTATACATTTCTGTGATGCATGATCTTTATATTGCATTGTGTGCCCACCACCAAAGTCAACTCACATTCTGTCACCATACATTTGGCCCCCCATCCACCCCCCACCTCCCACCCCCTTCTCTCTGTAACCAAATTGTTGTCTGTGTCTATGAGTTTCAGTTTTATATTCCACATATGAGTGAAATCATATGGTTCTTGGCTTTTTCTGACTGACTTATTTTACTTAGTATAATATTCTTAAGAACACTTTTTTAAAGAGGCTTTTTGGAAAAGGCAAGTGTCAGTGGAGCCACAAGGGGGCCAAGTAATCAATTACTCTTTAGGATAAAAAAGCAGTTAGTGGACTACCTATACTACCTGAGAGCCTCCCCAGCAAGACCTGCCACCTACTATTCAAGAGAGAGAGAGAGCAATCTCCTTGATCTGAGTGGACATAATGGAAATCTCCCCAATAAGCCCTGACCTTAGGCAGGAAATCTAACAGATATAGACATCCCCAGGTAAGTTTTGACATTTAGTTCCACATGATTGCTGTATCCTTTGGCAACAACGGATTCTAGTTTACCAGCATTTGGCAGCCATGTTACAAAGTGAAATTGTCTTTTTCACCTACACTCTTATCTAGCTGAGAATGAGCCCACTGATCTTACCAATATGTAGAAAATGTTAACTACAGTATGTCTGCATGTGAGACAGTTTCCACCTGTTGGCCATAGATCTGCACACACAAGTTCTTTTGCAACGTCTAGTCCTTTTTTTCAATATCCTCTGAAACTCTCTTACCCCAAAACTTTAGGAGTAATACATAAATACATATTCCATCTATATTTTTCTATGTATTCTCTCTATATGTGTCTGTGTTCATATATGTTTCCCTGCTGCTACCACCACAGCTAATTAATCTTAGGCTATCTTAAGAGGACTTTACTTTGTCATTTTGGAAATCAGTTTTTAATCTTTTAACTGCCACTCACTACATTGCTAAAAAATGCAGATACTTTCTCATATTCCATGATGGAATGAAACCCAAAGGTGGACATTAGAAAAATGAGAAAATGTAGATATGCACTGCCTGAAGGAATGCCTACATATACAAAGTAGATAAAATATATTCATGTATGTAATTTTTCTATGGGTTCTATGTGAAAAACCTGGGAGAATGCCTTTTGATATAGATTCTGAAGCCAATTCATATAAATTTCAAGTAAAAGAACTAACAGGAAAAAAAACATAAATGTGGTGTGATGAACTGTACATGGTCCTAAACTGTCAAATCCACATGGAAGCCTGTCACAGTTCATTCTGAGAGTGTCAGGAAATAATACACTGTATGAATCCCTCCTTTACCTTTATTATTCTCTATTAAAAGTCCTTTGCTTTTGTCTCAGAGCTTCTATTTCTCAGGTGCAATTTGGAAATGCATTGGGAGAGTCTTTACCCTCTTTTAATTGTTTCTTTCATTTCCCTCCACAGAACCACAACATTGTTTCACTGCTGTCACCTTTTATTTACTTGTAATCCAAATTCTTTCACTCCTTTCTTCTCATTGTATAGTTAATGTTTTTGTCCCTTCTACAACAAGGTACATCAGGAAATTTTCAATCTCCTAGGCATCTTATCAATTTTATCAATGAAAACCAGAATAATAATGTTTACTGAGTATCTATAGTATGAGTGTCTATGTGTTTTTCTGTTTCCCATTTTCTCTATATATTTTCCATTCTTTATCTTTCTCTCTCTCTCACACACACACTCATACACAGACAGAGCCATATTTAGTTGTATCCTTACTTTTTAGAAATAGTTCAACCATTTTATTTTTTTAACATTTTTTTCAATTACAGTTGACGTACAATATTATATTAGTTTCAGATGTACAACACAGTGATTAGACTTTTATATAACGTACGAAGTGATCACTCCGATAAATCAAGCACCCACCTGACACCATATATAGTTATTACAATCTTATTGACCATATTCCCTATGCTGTACCTTATATCCCCATGACTATTCTCTAACTACCAATTTGTACTTCTTAATCCCTTCACTTTTTTCACCCAG